GCGAGTGATGGAGGATCAGGCAGGGCACCGAGGCCCCTTCACCTCACTTCGTGACTCAGACGAAGCGGAGGCAGGGCCCTCTCTCCTGGCCAGGCTCTTCCCTCTCGCTCTTCATCTTGATGACATCACCACAGCTGCCGGGTGCAGATGGACAGAGGTAACCAGAACGGTGCAGTTGCAGCCCGGGCGGGCAAAAGAGTGAGTGATGGGGGATCAGGCAGCCTGATCCTCTCTCGCTCGCTCGCCGGGCCGCCTTGCCGCCACTCTGACTACCTCCATCCATCTGCGCCCGGCAGGTGCAGCAACATCATCAAGATGAAGAGTGAGAGGAGGAATTCTGGGAGTCCACAAGTTTTAAAGCTGTCAAATTTGAGCATCCCTGTGGGTTTTTTTTTCTAAAGGGTTAGGGATGCAAGGGTCTTGTAACTTGACAGCTTTAAGACTTGTGTGCTTCAATGCCAGAGTTTCTGAGCCAACATTTTGATTGCTAAGCAAGAGCTTTGTTAAGTGAGTTTCACCACAGTTTACAAGTTGGCCATGCCCATCCAATCATATGACTGCCAAGTCACTCCCACTCAGTCACATGCCTGGCAAGCCACTCCCATCCAGTCATATGGCCAGCAAGCCACTCCCACAAAGCAGGCCACACCTACAGAAGAGGTTCCAAAATTTTTTGAAACCCACCACTGGGTTGGGCCAATACAAGCCAGTTTGGGAGGAGCAAAGTATGCACTGGTCATTGTAGATGACTACAGCAGGTTTGGGTTCTGCAATTTACTAAAGAGTAAAATAGAGGTGCTACAGAAATGGAAGCAATGAGTAAGCTTCGTAGAAAGACGATATAAACAACAGATATGTCAACTGCAAACTGACAGAGGTTCAGAATTCATGTCAGCAAGTTTTCAACAGTGGTTGGGACAGTTAGGAATAAAACACCAATGCACAGATCCGTAAACAGCAGCTGAAAATGGCATGGCTAAGAGATGGAATGCTGTTCTACAAAAAATAAAGGACTCATTGCTGGAGGATTCTTGTCTGAGCAGGTCATATTGGGGTGAAGCCATGTTGACTGCTAATTATTTAATCAATAGGCTGTGGAATTCCGCTATTAATAATACTCCACATTCAGTGCTTTATGGGAGGAAGCCATCTCTGTCACATTTAAGGGTTTTTGGAAGCAATGCATGGGTGCATATTCCAAAAGCAATCATGAGAAAAGGTTAATCAAAGGCTAGAAAGCTCAGGTTTACAGGCTATGAGCCTGGATCAAAGAGCTATCACTTTAACAATGGGAGCAAAAGAATAGTCATTTCCAGGTCTGCTAGCTTTGAAGAGCAAAATTGGAACAGAATTTATGCCAATTTTTTGAATGTTCCACTTAGTGACCCACTTAATGATGGTATCAGCGTTCAGGGAGAAGCTCAAAAAGAACAAGAAAAGGAGTCAGGGCTAACCTTTACCCTAATCTGGTATTGGTATTACCCAAAATTAAACAAGTGAAATGGAAAGAAGCTATGGACAAAGAAATGAAATCAAAGGGTGAACATAAAGTGTTCACATCTATAACTTTGCCAGAAGTTTGCAAAGCCGTACGATGTAAATGGGTGTATAAAAAGAAAGTACTGACCAACAATGAGGTACAATCTAAAGCAAAATTAGTGGCACAAGGTTTTTCACAAAGGAAAAATCTGCACTATGATGAGGTATTCACACCAACTGTAAAGAGTGAAAGCATAAGGTTGGCACTAGCATTGGCAGTGGCACATGGCCATAAAATTTGGCATTTTGATATAACCACAGCATTCCTCAACACAAAATTAGAGGAAGAAGCACCAGGGTATGAAAGCAAAAAGCCTAACACTATATATAAATTGAACAAGGCCATTTATGGGCTAAAGCAGTCAGCCAGGAATTGGAATATCTGTTTTAATACTGCATTGAATGGTCTTGGGTTCAAGAGTTGCAAGGCTGATGGTTGCATATACACTGGAAAGATACAAGGTAGGGATTGTTAAGTATTAGCATTTGTAGATGATCTGTGTTTAATTGCGCAAAATCTGTCACAGAAAAAGGAATTTGCTAATCAATTAAAGGAAAAAATTGAATTAAAAGATTTGGGAGAAATAAAAAACTATCTTGGTGTAGAAATACAAAAAACTGAGAAAAGTGGTTATGTTCTCAGTCAAAGAAGGAAAATTGAACAGCTGTTGGAGAGATACAACATGAAAGAATGCTATGTTGTTAGTGACTATGTAAATGATATAAAAACCAGAAGGAAGTCCAATTTTGGGATTGTGGTATTGTTTGGAGGGGCTTTAATTGGTTCGAAGTCCAGGAAACAAACAACTTTGTTTCCAGAGGCAGAATTTATTGTTGTGAGGTAACTTGGTACGTATGGCTGTTAAAGGATTTAAATGTAACGGAAAAGTAACTGAAGCTGTAACGGTGTTCGAGGATAATGCTGCTTGCATTAAAATGGCAACAGGTGACAGAGTAAAGAATAGAAGCAAGCATGTGGATGTTAAATACTGTAATGTAAGAGAAGTCATCAAATCTAAATTAATTAGCTTGCTTCACTGTTCTTCAGAGGACAATCTGGCAAATATAAGGACCAAGCCACTGGGTGCAGTACACCATGGGAAGAATATTAAGTTATTTGGTTTTATGTCTATTCCAGACATAAAGGGAGGAGTGTCAGTATGTAACAGTTCATGAATTGGAATAGACATGGTAACAGGTCAGCCAATGAGGACTGTTTGGTGACCCAGATGGTTCAGAGCCTGGGCGTGGCTTAGGTTCACTGATCTGTATATCTGTATATATATAAGTGCTTCTGTGATTCTATAACTTCTGTGATTATTGATTCTGGATTTCTGGATTCTGAGTTCTGATTCTGGCTTCTGCTATATGGTATTGTATATAAAGAATTTTCTTATATCAATGAATCCTGCTGAATTATTTACTTGTGTGTTGGTTGGATTGCTCCCAACTCGAAATAAAATTTAATGCATATTTGATACATATGAAGAACACTCACAAACTATTGTACATTTAACCAAAAATAAACTTTATGTAAATTGTACTTTCTTTATCTAAATTTCTTTCTGCATTATTAGAAGTTTAAAAACAATTCATGTTAGATTCTCCATAATAGCCAACAAATTTGATTGCATTTAAAGACTTATCAGAATGAATCTCAGAAGAGCAACTGCAACTTTACCGATCAGCTGTCAGATCTTTATCCTTTTTTCCCTTTTTCTTTCTTCCACCTTTTTTCCCTTTTTTCTTTTTCTGAAGATCATAAACAGAAAAAACAGATTAACAGAGTTGGAAGGGACCTTGGAGGTTCTTTAGTCCAACTCCTTGCTTAAGGAGACTCTACACCATTTAAAAAAAATGGTTGTGCAATCTCTTCTTTAAAAAAACTCCAGTGAAAGAGCACCCACAGCTTTTGAAGGCAAGCCATTCCACTGATAGTTCTAAGAGAGGAAATTTCTTCTTATTTCTAAGTTGGTACTCTTCTTGATTTGTTTCCATCCATTGCTTCTTGTTCTGCTTTATACTTTGCAAAGTATACTTTGCAAAAATACTTTGCAAAGGTAGTACTTCCACATATGGCAAATGTTTTCATTTGAGTACAACTCTCTTTGATGAAATACGTCTTTATACAAATAATAAGCACTTTTATTTTGTTTATATTTATTTCATGTTCCCCAACTTCTGATACAATATTATAGTAAATCCATACTAAATAGTTACCTTCCCTTTTTTTCCTTTTTTTCCAGTTTTCTCTGTCTCTCTATCCACGGCTAATTTTAGATTTTTCAGTTCCTGGCGCATTAATTCATCAACCTGTATAAGCACATACATAGAGGTAATACAAAATATTGTACTAAAAAAAATCTGCAACCAGAAAATATAAATGTTATGCCAAGGATAAACACTCATATATAATCATCCAATTTTATTAGCATTTTTGGAGGGAGAATTATGTCTGTAATAACCTTCCCTCCAAAATAAAGCATTATTATCAAAATAAAATACTAAATTGGATAGAGTAAGCATGCTCCAAATCCCTTTTCTTAAATCTTGCCATCTAGTGGGACCTAGTGTACCTCCACTGTGGCTACATCTATTTTATGGAACACCTGTCCTATGGATTTGGCAGGCCCCTGTCCTTTTAGTCTTTTAGAAGGCCATCAAGACCTGGATTATTTCTAGGTACAGGGGCGAAAGAGGATGTCTGGAGTTGATTGTTGGGCATCCCAAAGGATAATTGAGGTGATGGGTTTTGTTTTGTTTTTACAGTTTTTATGTTTCTGAGTTTTATTGTTGTTGTGAGCTGCCCAGAGCTGGGTTTTTAGATGGGTAGCCATATAAGCCTTTTAATCAAACAAGTAAATAAACAGACTCTGGATGGATAAGCACTACCTCTGAAGGAGCAGTTTTGCAATTTGGAAGGCTGTTTGGACTCTTGGCACCTGCTCAAGCAAATGGAAGCTGTGACTAGAGAGAGAATGACTTGATTTGGAAGTCATTACTACTGCACTGCTACTCATTTGGCTATAATAATTCAATGTCAGTACAAGATATTCTATATAGGACTGCCTTTAAAGAATATTAGGAAACTGTAGTTAGCTCACAGTGTAGCAGACCCTATGATGTCAGCAGGTCCCCTGATGCTGAGTGCAGGTTACCTCTATGTTGTCGGTACTGCACTGATAACTAGTTAATTTCCATGTACAATTTAAAGTGTATATTTGACTTATAAAGCCATAGCTGACCCATGTTTATAAAGGCAGATGGGTATTTTTAGAACTGGTTGATCCATCTGGTGACCTTAAGAGAACTTAATATTTGTTCCCCACTTCCAGGAAATAAAGATACTTGAGGCTAGAAGGAGCCGCTTTTTAATGGCAACTCCAATTGTCTGTAAGAGTCTCCCAGTAGAAATCAGACTGACCCTATCTCTTTTGGTATTCAGAAGGGTAACAAGAGTTGTTTGGCTAATGGTGAGATAGATATGGAATAAATAAATATCATGCTTTATGTGAATCTTAGATTTCAGCATTAAATGTACTGTGTCACCATGCAGAACTGAAGCCTGGACTCTTAGGGGTTTCTAGTTCCCTGATGGTATAAATCAAATGTAGCATTTTTTTGGCTTGAAGATCAGATCAGGTTCCAAATAAGTATATTGCATATATAGGGTCCTCTATGTACGTTTTGCATACTTATGCACACTATTCATAAAATATACTTCCTTAAACTACTGCCCCCCCTCTCTCTCTCATACACACACACACACACTCACACATACACATCACTTAGTGCTCCACAATCAGATAACTGATTGTGTTCCACAATCCCTTTTCTGCAGGCGGCCCAAAAATATTGATCCAACAGAAAAGATGGAATTCATAATTCTACAGTAGACACAAAGTGGATTACAAAACACATGTAAGAAAGCTGTTGTGCTACAATAATTCAGAATCTTTTTCATACATTGGGAAATTTGCTTTGAAACTTCTGCCAGAAAAGGGATTGTGGAACACAATCAGTTATCTGATTGTGGA